CGATCTTCACACCTCCGTGTTCCCAAACACCTAGCGCCTCGGTGTACAGTGCAGCCCTGTCCACCGCCAACAACTCCGCCAGCAAATCTGCCTGATCCGCATCAGCCACAACACAAAGTCGTTTACCCTAAACACGAATCCCCAGAATGGCCTCGACGTCATGTAACATGATCGTCATCTCACCGAACGGAAGGTGGAAAGAGTTTGTATCCGGCTGCCATCGCTCAATGAAAGCCGTGATCAGCGTACTGTCAATCTTATCGTGCATGGTGGCAGGAACGTGATTCACCCCAGTGCCCTCCAGTCGCTCGAACATCTCGCTCTCCGCCGGCCAAGTCTCAGCCCATGTACGCAAAAAGCTACAAGTCTTTTCCCGGGTATGACATTTCAACAACCCCGTAACTGAAGGCCTCTCCTGGTCCTCCCAAATACGGGCAACTATGTGTCCAAGAAAGCTAGGAATCACACTCCCGTCAACAGGCCCACCGGGCACCTCACTCCTAACAACCCAAGAATCATTACCGGCCCTCGACCGTTTCCTGCTTGCCCCAGATACAGTGGACGCAGATGATGTGCCAGATCTACTAACAAACCTACCACCCCTACCCTTACGCACCTCCACCATATGTGTCTCGTACATGTCATCAACCCTCTGACTGAATGGACCGTAATCATCATACGGTCCACTGCCATCGTCCACATCCTCATCCTCATCTGCGCCCTCCTCCTGCTCCTCCTCCTGGTCACCCTCCTCAGCATCATCATCGTCATCGTCATCCTCATCCCGACGGTGGATCCGTTCTCTACGAGCTGAGGCCGAAATACCACGGGATCTGACATGTCTATGCCCCGACCTCTCCACTGAATAGCTTCTACTAAGAAGCTCTACATTCTTCCCCGCACCATGACGACCCAGTGAATTCTACACAAAATTTTAAAATATATAAACATACAAAAATTTATACAAAAAATAGCTACCACTACCCAAATTAAATAAACTAAAAACATACAAATAATTGTAAACAAAATATAAACATAGAAAAAATACAACAAAATTGAAAAAATTTATAAAAATAAACAACAAAATATAAAAACAATTCAAAAATATATTACACAAAAAAAAAAAAAAAACAATATTTTAAAATAAATATAAAAAAAAAGGTGGGGGGCGCCTTGGCTGGACGCCCAGCCAGCGGTGGTGGCGCTAGCTGCAGACGCCGCCACCAGTGGGCTGGCGCCTGGGCTGGACGCCACAGCCACGGCTGCAGCGCCTTGAATAAACGCTACAACCGTGGCTATGGCGTCCAGCCCAGGCGCCAGCCTACTGGTGGCGGCGTCTGCAGCTGGCGCCACCACCGCTTGCTGGGCGTCCAGCCAGGGCGCCCCACCTCCGTCACGGCGGGTTTTCCTTTTTTTTTTTTTTTTTTTTTTTACAAATTGTACCTTGCCTCCTTGGGACCTCCTTCCCTCCGCCGCCGCCGCCAATTCCTTGCCTTGCCACCTCGACATTGCCGTTGTTTGAAATTTTTTTTTTAGAGAGGTTGAAAGAAGATGAGCGATGAGAGTGTGAGTGTTTTTTTTTTAGGTCAAGGGCATTATTGTCAAACCAAGTGAATTTTGTGGGCTTTATGTAGTAATTTGTGGGCGATGTTTAACAAATCCCAAAAATTTCGGCAATTTTTATATCCGGGTAAAAAATAGCCTAAAAATTCCAAAATTAAATGCTTATATCCAGGCTTTTTGAGATATTTTGGAGGTGTCGGGGGATGGTGTCGAAAAACCTTGAGATTTTATTGAATACATCTCGGGGTCATATAATGACGTTTGGAACCATATATGATCATTATATGTTGTCATAAATGTTCGTGGTAGGCTTGATCTTAATGAAAGCGGTGCAAGTTATAAACTAGTAAATAGGTCGTTTGAAGGCAAATTAAATGGTTTCACCCACCCAATTGGACTTCCGAAAGGTATTAGGGATCATGGTAAAAATTTCGGAAATTATTTTTTCCTGGCGAAAAAAGTCTAAAAATTCCAAAAATAAAGGCAAAGATCCACGCTTTTTCAAATTATTTGGAGGTTTCGGGACCCGGTATCGAAAAGCCTTGAGATTATAAGGAATACATCTTGGGGTCATATAATGTCGTTTGGAACCATATATTATTATTTGATGTCATAAATGTTCGTGGTAGGCTTGAGTTAAAGAAATCGGTGCAATATGTAAACCGGAAAATTGGCCGTTTAAAGGCAAATTGGATGGTTCCACCTGTTTCGGGGTTTTTTGATGTGTCCTGCGGGAGAGTTACAATTCCAAGAATGCCCTTCGACGCCTGTGCCTGCAAAATCACGAAGACTCCTGGGGGTAGGAGCTCCGCCTCCGACGATCAAGTTAGTAAAGATACGGGAGGTAGAATGCACGTAATGTAGAAGTTACTTCTCGTGTAATGGGAGAATTCTGCAATTAATATTGCTCGGGGTAAGTGTTTTTCTTTTTGAGGAGTATTCAATGTGAACAACAAATGTTCCAGCCTCCCATTAATGAGGGTCCTTCCACTATTTATAGTGGGGAAGGGATGGTTTCCCTTTTAGGGTTTAGAGGACACGTGTCAGCAGAGGATTGGAGCCCTGCTGACCAACGGCTGGATGCCACGTGTCACTAGGCCATTGGGCCACGTGTTTAGGGTATTTTTACCCCAAACATTTGCCCCTCACTGGTGCTGACATGGTAGGGTGCCACGTGGCGCCGGTGAAAGGTTTTTTTTAGATTCTTTTTGAAGGATGGAAAAGCAGAAGGCGAAGAGTCACGACTTTTCACCTTCTGGGACAAATTCTATAAATAGGAGAAGATGTCCCCCGAGCTCTCATTTACAAACTTTGCCAAATTTCTGAAAATTTGAGAGCAGCCGGCAATTTGAGAGTTGAGAGCATTCGGAGTTGAGATTCGTTGAGAGCAACCGGTCTACAGACCGTCTGGGTCGTTGCAAGCTAGCCAAAGGTTTTCGAGAGGGTAATCAGAGAAACCCAGCCGGATTTTGAACCGCCTGCGTCTTCGCAAGCATCCCAAAGAATTTCCAGATTTTCTTCTAGGTACCGTCTCTATTCTTTCTAGCTTTTTCATGTATTTCCGTTTGAGTCTTTTACTCGCATTTTTGTTCATTGGTCCCATAAGTAGATGGACCCCTTATACCCATACCCGGAACCTAGCTGTGAACTCAGCCGGTTTATTAGTACGGCTGAGTCTAGAACTGGGTCTGCCGCCTCTGTTCTTTGGGACAACCCTTTTTCAACACCCATATCGACCGACTCTGTGTCTGTGCAGGACACAATGGCCAGAATCTGGTCTACTGCCAGAGATCCCAACTACAGAAGTGGGAGCTCAGATGAGCAGCCGCCTGAGGTCCCAGCTTCAGGCGGTGAAGTAGAGCAAGGAGAGGTAGAGCAGAGAGGCTCACCCGGGGGCGCTCCTAGCACCCCGGGTGATAGCATTTTAAACGAAGAGACTGCTCCCCTCCAGGAGACCAGAGAGCAGGTAGGCTCTGATAAGGAGGTCTCCAACTCCCCAGCCGGCTCTGATGCCGGTCACGTTCAAAGTAGCAGTAGCAGCTACTTAACCGAATCTGAGGATAGCGAGGAGGCGGAGAGGCCTTCTTGGGATAATAGGAACGATCCTCTCATGATCGCCGTCTCCTCTAAGGACCGCGAGCTCATGCGGGCTGCGCTGCTAGATTTTATCAAACGGCGGCCGCTGGGGGGTGACTATACAATAAAAATCCCGGCTGCTCTGGGAACAATATGGTGGGAGGATGGACAACCGAACGCGAACGCTTGGTTCGGGTGCTACGAGGCGGCCTTCGTGGCCGGAGTCCGCTTCCCTCTCCACGACACAATAAAAGCCATACTTAGGGGGTATGGCCTAGGTCTCTGGCAATTAACCCCCAACTCATGGGTAAATATTTTAGGGTATATCGCCGCCTGCGAGATGCAGGGCCTCAACCCTGGCTGGGAGGCGTTTGCCCACATGAATTACTTGAGTAGGAGCCCAGGCGGCTGGAGAGCCTGGTATACCTTGACCACCCAGCCCAAATACCTTATGACCTTGGACAAGCCATCCAAATGGTCGGACTGGAAGCACCGGTTCTACTTGGTTAAGGCCCCAACTACGGCAGAGAACAGAGAATTCTGGATCTACAACCGGAAACCAGAACTCTTGGGGACCAAGTGCTACCTGCCCCCTGTCCCGGAGGATGATAGAGAGACCATCCTTGACTCCGGGTTTTTTGAGTTAATTCCTGACACCCTCTCATCCGGAGAGATAGTAAGGGTACCTAGAAACTGGGTGCCCAAACATGAATTTTTTAGGGACGAATGCTTCTTGTCCGCTTGTGGTCTAAGCAACATGTTTAAAAAACGTATGTATTCGGAACTCAGCCGGTTTCTTTCGAACCGGATGCTTTTATTTCCTTGCTTATTTATTATTCTAACCGTGTGCCTTCCTCTGCAGAAGAAGCCAAGAAAATGCTGCCCACCGAGAAGACACCGGCTAGGTCGGCTGCCGACATCCGGAAAGCCAATCTCGAGAAAAAACTTGCTGCCCAGGCGGCGAGGAAGGTATAACCGTCTGATCCTTCTCGTTTATTTCAATCCTTTTATCCCATAACTTATATTTTTCTCGTTTATAGGACGGGAAGCAGATGCCCCGGTCCCTTCAAAAACAGGTCAGGCCTCCGCCGACCCAACAAGAGTCTGCATCCAAGGTGCAGAAGACAGCCGACCGGCAAACTACCGGCGGCAAATCAATAAAGGTCCCAGGCGGCCCTGGATCTGCGGATGTGCTTTCTGCCATCCCATTGAGGACCGCAACCGGTCCCTCTGAAGGCCGTTCGGGCCGCCAAGGTAACTTCGACCTTACACTGCTTGACCTGCCCATGCGGGTCAAGTCTTATTCACAGTCTCGATCGCAGCCGGGGGATTCTCCAATCAGCCGGCAATCTATAGGCAGAGCATATGCGAGTTTCTCACCGTCTGTTTCTGGTGCAGATAATTCTCCCCGCTGGCCGGACGGGGCACAATATGCCCGGGCCATGCTGAAAGCCGTCCCCAGGGACGAGAAGGAGGCGATCCCTGGGATCAACTCCTTTAATGCCGACCGGGTGCTGGTCGACCTGGCCGACGTATACTCCAACAACCATGCGGTAATTTTCTTGACGTGCATTTTTAAATATGCAGTATTAACCGGCTGTATTTTTGCAGGCTATGCTGCGCGTAGAGGGGCTCAAACGAGCTTGTACCCGCAAGTCTGAAGAGGTAAGGAGAAGCAAACGGGCTGTTGATGACGCCCATAATGTTGCTGACTACTCTTTGTACATGCATGGCTTAGAATCTAAATCTATACGCATGGAACAGGCGGAGAAGACCAAGGCCCTCCAACAGCAGATTGATCAGCTGAAAAACCAAGTTGACCAACTGCAGGCGTCCCTGGATGATGCCAATAAAAAGTTGGAGGAACAGAAAGAGCCCCTCCAACGGCTGAGCAAGGCGGAGACTGAAAATGGCCGCCTTGCCAAAGAGAATGAGCGCCTGCGCAAAGAGGCGGCTGCTGCCAATGAGAACTTCAAGGCCACCTTGGAGTCGGAGCAGGAGAGGCTCATTGAAGATAATGAGCATGACTGTGCAAACCGGATGCAACGGGCGTTTTCCCTCATCCACCCGGAGGCGGACTTCACCGTCTGGGAACTCGCCTTCAAATATTCTGATCTTGCCATTCTGGCCGAGGAGGCGAATGAGCCGGGGCCCGGACCCTATGACGCTTGGGTTAGGGAGGAGATTGCGCGACGGCAGGCGGAGGCTGCTGAAGAGGAAGAAGTTGTTCCTGAAGCCGACGCAGCCGCTCACCCTGATCCAACCCAGAACCAACCGGAAGAGGACCGGTTCCCTGTTCGCCTGGAGTAGCAACTACTTCCCGGCCTGCGCGCCTTGAATTATCTTGTAATAGCACCGGATGAGATGGGCTAAGCTGTAATAATTTTTATTTTGAATATTAACATTTTCACCGGCTGAGCCGGCTTTTGAATGCTTTTTATGTTTCTGCACTTCAATACTAGAATTCTTGTTATTTTTTATACATATTTCTGCGAGGATAACCAAAAGAACCCCGCCGGTAACACTATCGCTTAGGTCTTCGCAAACAGCAAAGAAATTTGCAAAGGTTGCCAAGAGGACCCCACCGGTAACACTGTCGTCTGGGTCTTCGCAAACTAGGCGAAGAAATTTGCAAGGGTTTCCAAGAAGACCCCACCGGTAACACTTCCGTCTGGGTCTTCGCAAACTAGGCGAAGAAATTTACTAGGGTTGCCAAGAAGACCCCACCGGGAACACTGCCGTCTGTGTCTTCGCAAACTAGGCAAAGAAATTTACTAGGGTTGCCAAGAAGACCCCACCGGTAACACTGCCGTCTGGGTCTTCGCAAACTAGGCAAAGAAATTTGCAAGGGTTGCCAAGAAGACCCCACCGGTAACACTGCCGTCTGGGTCTTCGCAAACTAGGCGAAGAAATTTACTAGGGTTGCCAAGAAGACCCCACCGGGAACACTGCCGTCTGGGTCTTCGCAAACTAGGCGAAGAAATTTACTAGGGTTGCCAAGAAGACCCCACCGGTAACACTGTCGTCTGGGTCTTTGCAAACTAGGCGAAGAAATTTACTAGGGTTGCCAAGAAGACCCCACCGGGAACACTGCCGTCTGGGTCTTCGCAGACTAGGCGAAGAAATTTACTAGGGTTGCCAAGAAGACCCCACCGGTAACACTGCCGTATGGGTCTTCGCAAACTAGGCGAAGAAATTTACTAGGGTTGCCAAGAAGACCCCACCGGTAACACTGCCGTCTGGGTCTTCGCAAACTAGGCGAAGAAATTTCGACCCAAAACCAAACCGGATGGCGTCTGGGTAATTGCCCCTGGATAGCGGTCTGGGTCTTTGCAAGCCAGGCGACTATCCATATGATATAGCTCGAATATACACTAAGTGCCAACATTAGATTCGGGAGCCAGTCGGTTTATACTGAATTACCGGTCGGGACTTCGCAAAAGAATCACGCCAGATTAGGATGTCCATTCACCGGTTGGGCTTTTGCAAGCATACCCCTGAATGAATTATGGCCTAGACCAAATGTTTAGGCCTGCTCTTAGAGAGTCAGGCGGCGGTATTGGTACCGGCTGTCCTTCCAAAAAGTGAGCCGGCTGCAAGTTTGGGGTTGCTAGCCTGCCCTTTTTTGGTGCGAAGGATCGTCAGGCGGATTTTTCCGCCTGTGTGATCGCTTAGAACAATTTACCACCCAAATGGGAGATGTTCTCTTCGATGAATTCACCCGTATGGGTGTCACCGGATGAAAAAATTAGTTACTGGTGCCGCTTGTGGTAGGCACAAGACATGGCGGCTGTATACAAAATTGAATGTAATTCTCATTAATCATTTGAAAATTTTCAAAAGATGTACAATACTTAGAAGTAGTATTTTTTGAGGTTATCTACATTCCAAGTTCTAGGCAACTTTCTTCCGTCTGGAGTTTCCAGGCGGTAAGTGCCGTCTCGTACTTCTTCAAAGATCCGGTAGGGTCCCTCCCAATTTGGGGTTAATTTGCCTTGTTCATTGGCCCTACCGGTTGCCTCCATTTTGCGAAGCACAAAATCTCCTTCTTTCAAAGGTCTTTTACGAACCCGCTTGTTGTAGGCTCTAGTCATACGCAGACGGTAGATCTCATGACGCAAGGCAGCATTCCCCCTTCGCTCTGGAAGAGCGTCTAATGCTAACCGCATGGCTTCCCAGTTAGCCTCCTCATCATATAACATAATGCGTAGAGTAGGCTCATAATGTTCAATGGGAAGAACTGCTTCAGTGCCGTATGTCATGAGAAATGGGGTCTCACCGGTTGCCCCCTTTTCGGTTGTCCGGATAGCCCAAAGGATATGAGGTAATTCCTCTGCCCATAGTCCACCGGCTCTTTCTACTTTCTTCTTTATCCCGTCTGAGATCAACTTGTTAAAAGCCTCAACTTGACCGTTTGCCTAAGGACGGCCAACGGATGCAAAACAATGGGAAATTCCTTGGTCTCCCAACCAGGTCTTCAGGACAGGCGTTTCGAACTGCGGTCCGTTGTCGAAAACCATGGACATTGGAACCCCGAACCGGGTGATGACGTTTCTCCAGATGAAAGAAATCACGTCTTTCGTTTTAATCCCTTTTACCGCCTCTGCCTCAACCCATTTGGTGAAGTAGTCTACTGCTACAAGAATGTAGCGGCGGCCGCCTGATGCAGGCGTATAAGGTCCCAAAATGTCCATGCCCCATTTAGCAAACGGAACCGGACTATGGATTGCCGTGAGTTCTGTTGCCGGTTAATGTATCAACTTAGCGAATTTTTGGCGCTTGTCGCATCTCTTTACTAGATCCATGGCATCCGCTTCAAGAGTGGGCCAGAAGTACCCTTGCCGTCTGGTTCTTCTGGCCAGGGACCTGCCGCCAATATGCGAGGCACAAAACCCCGCGTGCAGATCTTCCAAAACTTCTCTCCCCCTATCTGGGGTTACACATTTCAAAAACGGCTGCAGGTATCCCTTCCGGAGGAGTTCCCCTTGATGCATAACAAAACTTGAAGCACGCTTCTTGAGCGCTGATGCTTCTGAAGGGTCATCCGGCAAGGTACCATCCGTCAAAAAGGACCGGATGGGATCCATCCAGGTAGCAGTTCTGTCCAAGACTCCAATGGGATCATTCTGAATACTTCGTTTTTCAATGACTTCCCAAAAGACCGTCCTAGGAGCATCACCGGAGGCTGATGATGCCAACTTTGAGAGGGCATCCGCCTGATTGTTTTCAGACCGGGGCACCTGTCGCAGATGAAATTCATCGAAGGACCCAGCCTCCTCTTTGACCGCCTGCAAATATTTGATCATAGCCGGATGGGTGGCTTCGTAGTCACCAAGGTATTGGCTAACGATCAGCTGTGAATCTGAGCAGGCGTCGACCTTTCTTGCACCGGCTGCCTTACACATGCGCAATCCGGCTAGCAGGGCTTCATACTCTGCCTCATTGTTGGAGGCTTGGAACTTAAACCGTAGTGCATATTCAAACTTATCCCCTTCCGGGGAATGACAGATAACACCTGCACCACAGCCGTTCACCGTAGAGCTGCCGTCTACAAATAACTTCCAGACCTGATCAAGGTTTTCCGGGTGCACCGGCCTAGTCATCTCGACAATAAAGTCGGCAAACGCCTGACCTTTCACTGCCCGCCTGGGTTCAAAAAGTTATCTCAAGGCCTTGTATTTCAACAGCCCACTTGATCATTCTACCGGATGACTCTATAGCAGTCATCGTACGCTTGAGCGGCTGATCTATGTATACCACAACCGGATGTGCCAAAAAATAAGGCTTCAACCGCTTGACTGCTACGAATAAGGCCAACCCAAATTTTTCGATCATGGGGTACCGGAGCTCAGCATTTTTAAAGACATGGCTGATGAAGTACACCGGCAGCTGAATGCCGTCTCTCTCAGCGAGGAGAATGGCACTAAGGGCGTGATCAGAGACGGCTAGGTACATGTACAGAACCTCCCGGGGTAGGGGGCTCACTAGCCTTGGCAAAGAATGCAAGTGCTGCTTAAGCCTCTGGAATGCCGCCTCTGCTTCTTCACCCCATTCAAACCTTGACCTCTTCCTGATTGCCTGGAAGAAATAGAGGCACTTGTCACCTGACCGGCTGAGGAACCTCCCCAATGCCGCCAGACAACCGGTCAACTTCTGGACCTCTTTTACAGTGCGGGGAGACTTCATGTCAATTACCGCCTGTATTTTTTCCGGATTAGCTTCGATGCCTCTTTGGTCAATCAAGAATCCGAGAAACTTCCCAGACTCAACACCAAATACGCATTTCTTTGGGTTAAGCATGACCCGGTGCCGCCTGAGTGTGGTGAAGGTTTCTCGCAGGTCTGCTAGGTGATCCGTCTGTAGCTTGGATTTGACTATCATGTCATCGATATACGCCTCTACATTCCTGCCAATCTGGTTGATAAAAACGGTGTTTATCATGCGCTGGAATGTAGCCGGTGCATTCTTCAACCCAAACGGCATCACCGTATAGCAGAATAACCCCTGATCAGTGACAAAAGCCGTCTTCTCCTGATCTTTCTTCCAGAGAGGTATTTGATGGAAGCCGGAATAAGCATCCATAAAGCTCATTAACGCATGGCCGGCTGTTGAGTCGACTAGGCTGTCAATCTTTGGAAGCGGGTAGCTATCTTTTGGGCATGCTTTGTTCAGATCTGTGTAATCTACACACATCCGCCAAGTACCGTTCGACTTCTTTACTAGAACGACATTTGCCACCCAATCCGGGTAGTAGCATTGCCTAATGAACCCAGCATCCAACAGCTTTTTGACCTCAGCCGCTGCCGCTTGAGATCTTTCTCCACCATGATCCCTCTTTTTCTGCCTAACCGGCTGCTTTTTTGGATCTACGGCTAGCTTGTGGACAGCAAGATCCGGGCTGACGCCTGGCATCTCTTCCACTTCAAAGGCAAAGATGTCTTTGAATTCCTTCAGCAGCTGGAGCAAGCCTTCTCCCAACCGTTCGAAGGCTACCGTCCCGACCTTGACTGTTCTTTCAGGACGACTGTCATCTAGGATGACATCAAGGCAGTCACCAGCCGGCTGAGGTCGTTGGTCATCTGACCTTTCCCCGGCTAGTGATTGCTATTTCTCCTTTTTGACGGGTGCCAGTTGGTCCGCCTTTCTTTTCATACCGGCTGCCCTTGGAGCCGGGACTGCTGGGTCGCAGTTATCAATATCTATGGGCTCGCCCTGGTCGGCTGCACCCATAGTTGTCTTGACGTCAGAGAGATAGCACTCTCTTGCCGTCTTCTGGTCCCCGCTTAGGGCACCGACTGTACCATCATCCTTTTGA